ATACAAAAAAGGAAGAAAATCATACAGCCTTGCAGATACAAAAAAGGAAGAAAATCATACAGCCTTGCAGATACAAAAAAGGAAGAAAATCATACAGCCTTGCAGATACAAAAAAGGTAGATACTAAATAGGAAGAAAATCAAAGAAAGAATAATTCCTATAATCAAGCTATTCCTAATTAGGCTAATACTACACATTTACAGCCTATAATTTCGTAACATGCATAAAGAGTTCCGGAACAATCTTGAAAGATTTTACTATGATGGATGACCTCCTGAAAGATTTTACTAGTTTGGAAACAACTTTTTTGTACTGAGAAACAGAGAACAAGGAGGGGAAAAGGGTTTTCAGGGGGACATCTCCAACCCAAGTATCCTCCCAAAAGAGGACAGATCACATACATCATACCTGATATAACTGAGGAACTGAGGAAGAATATTATGCACTGCCTTCCAAGGGGTTGCCCAAGCTGCCCGCCTTGATACACCAGCATCCCATCTATTCTCTAAGAATTCATGCATGCTTCCAATCACCTCATGCCACAATCTGACTCTCTCTAAGGCTGTATTTTTCTGAATTAAGTTCCCTAATCTCAAGACCCCTTCCTCTTTACTCCTATGCACCACCTCCCACTTAATTAAATTATCTTTCCTATTTTCCCCTGGTTCCCAAAGAAAATCTCTCATTAATTTTCCCAAATTCTTAGCTTCCCTAGTTGGGATCCTAAAGACAGAGAGATGGTATATTGGAAGGTTCACAAGTGTAGCTCTTGTTATGGTGATTCTTCCCCCTAGAGAAACGTAGTTCTTTTTCCATGAAGCCAATCTCTAACTTCTCTACAACTGGGCACCAAAATCTACTCTCCCAAGGATTTGCTCCTAGATGAAGCCCCAAATATGTCAAAGGCCAAGTAGAGATAGAACACTCTAAGCACTTTGCAATAGCCTCCACTTCTCTTAATTCCAAATTAACCCCTACAATGCAACTCTTTTCAAAATTGAATTTCAAGTTAGAAAAACTTTCAAAGTTTCTAATCAGCATCTTTAAACTTAGCACCCTCTCAATCTCAGCCCCCTCACAAAAGATTAAGAAATCATCTACAAACTAGAGATGGGTAACTGGGGTCTCATTTCTAGCAATTCTCCACCCTCTAACTACACCTTTTCTATCAGCCTTGGAGATTAAACGACTAAGCACATCAACAACTAAGGTGAAAAGAAATGGTGAGAGAAATAGTGACAGGAACTAACACCACTTTGTTCACCATAATTAAATAGTGACAAGAACTAACACAACCTAAGATCCAATTATAGCACTTTTCACCGAAGCCACAGTTTCTTGAGACTTCACTAAGGAACTTCCAGTCCACCATGTCATAAGCCTTTTCAATATCCAGCTTACACACAAAGCCTTTCCTATCAGATCTCCACAAATCCTCCACACTTTCATTGCCAATCAATATTTGGTCAATTATTTGTCTTCCTTATACAAAGGCCCCTTGGGCTTGGCTGACTAAGGAGAGGATAACTTCTTTAAGCCTCAGAGATAGAACCTTAGCTAGAATTTTATAGATGCTCGTCACCAAGCTAATTGGTCTAAAATCCTTCGGATGACTAGCATCAAGTCTCTTAGGGACTAGGGCCAAGAAAGTGGCATTGACACCCCTGCTTACTATGTGATTGATTGTGAAATCCTTAAAAACCTCAAACAAATCATCCTTCAATACTTTCTAACAATCTTGGTAAAACGCCATTGTAAAGCCATCTGGTCCAGGTGCCTTAGATCTATCCATCAAAAACACTACCTTTTTATTTCAGCTTCTTCAAAACTTCTTCCCAACCACCTCACTTTCTCCTCTCCCAAACATGGTCAATCCAACCCTTCCATAGATAATCTTTCATTCAAAGGCCTTCTATAAATAGATTTAAAGTAAGCTACGAAGGTTATGGCTACTTCATCCTGATTTGTAATCACCTCCCCTTCTACCTCTAATTTGGCCACAAAGTTTTTCCGCATTCTTCCACTTGCCAGATCATGGAAGAATCTAGCGTTTCCATCACCTTCCTTAATCCACTGGTGTCTTGACTTTTGTCAACAACAAATCTCCTCTCTAAGTAAGAAAACCTTTAAGTCCTTTTTCAATTGTCTTCTTATTTCCCTATCATGTATATTCATGGTCATTTGAGCTTCGTTCTCATCCAACTCCTCAACCCAATATATTAAACTCAATTTCCGTTCCTCAATTATACCAAAATGGTATTCCACTCCTTCCCACAAAATTTCCTATGGCCCTAAAAGCCTCTATACACTAGGCATGCAGCGGAATCCCATAGACATCGATCTAGACGTACCTCATTTTCTCTACTTCCGCTTCAAACTGGGCGACCAGCAACTAAAAAAGATTTCAAGGCTCCTCTTTATTCCAATGCATTCCCTTGCTAGGGCTTCTTCCATGTCTCTTTTCCACCTAAAATTGAACAAAAATAAGGATGTTCCCATCCTTCAAACACAGAAGAAACTTAGGTTTCTCCAATTCTTGATTTGCCCATTTCTCCACATCTCTAATGTCAGTCTCCAAATGGACAAATGTACCTACTAGACATCTGTTTAGGAATTCCAACATCCAACCTTTTCTTCTACCTTGCATACATCCCTAACTGACACACCTCTAGTAGAAATCAACAGTCTTTCTAACCACAACGCCACTGCTAAACCCGGCTTCATGATTACTTTGGCTGCATGATTACTTTGATACCAGCAATGAATAATGTCCCCTTGAAAAAACCTAATAGAGTCCTAGCTAATCTTTATTGCAGTTTTTAAGTCATGAAATTGGCCTTTGGTATGTTGGTTAAGCAAAATCGTAGAAATGTAACACGAGACGACTTACCTTATACCTGTCTTAATCAAGATTATGCACAATAGTATCGTGAATCTATTTTGAGAAACAGCTTCAAGTGTTTATTTTTTGCATGACTTAAACCCTATAATGCTATTAAAAGAAGGAAACAGAAGGTAATGGAAGAAAACCCTAAACCTTGTTATCAAAGTGAGATTCTGTGGTAGGATTGACAGGGCATTGTTGGAAGTACTTCGAAAAAGTTCCATTGGTAGACGAACGGGCGGAAGCAGTTGAAGAAATTTTCCTCTCGGTGATCTTCTTCAATGGTTTAATTTTTGTACGACTTAAACCGTATAATGCTACGAAAAAAAAAAAAGAAAGAAGCAGAAAGAGATGGAAGAAAACACTAAACCTTGCTGTCAAAGCGAGATTCTGTGGTAGGTTTCGCGGGAGATTGTTGGAAGTACTTCGAAGGAGTTTCGTGGGAAGACGAACTGACGGAAGCAGTTGCAGAAGAAATTTTCCTCTCTGCGATCTTCTTCAGAGCTTCTCTTTCGAGTGAGTCAAGTTCTTCGACGCTGAAATTCCAATCATCGTCGTCGAGCGCCATTTCGCCTATCTGTGACTCTGTCGTTCTCTTTTCACCTTGCTTGCTTTGGAGGATACCCGGGACCTGGAAATATTTGAAAAAGGGACTCGGAGGAGGGCCGCAAACGGATCGGGTAGAATCGAACCGAATCAATCATTTGCGACAAAGACCTCCAGAACTTAGGGCCCGTTTGTTTCGCGGGAGCAGGGGTTTGAAATTGAATCGAAATGGGGCCATTTCAGTCTCGTTTGGAATTGTTCCTACTTGTTGCTGTTCCCAAACAGAAATTCTATTTTTGATTACTGGATTGGGGAATAATTAAGGCGTCTCGCAGTCTGTTACTTAGGAACAAATTTTTGTTATAAAAAACAAAAACAACTTTTGAATAATAAGATTAAATATCCATATCCATACACTCACAAAGCATTGTTTAATGTCCTCAAACCTAAAATAAAATTAATAAAGAAAAGGACCAAGGAATATCAATGTCTTCCATTATTAATCATCGAATAAGACTATTTGAGGATCAAAATAACACAAATAAATAGAAAAATAACAACTCAACATGTCATTTTACAACAACACCCATAAGCCATAATTAGGAGTGAGCAAGAAGAACCGAAAAACTAAACCGATCAAAAAACCCGATCGAAACCGAACCGAAAAAATGATTAATCAAATTGATCGGTTCGGTTTCGGTTAACCTATTTAAAAAACTGGCGGTTAACCGAATCAACCGGTATATGTTAATAAATAATAATATATTATATATAATATTTTAAAAATTAAAAAATCGAAATCCTTAAGACCCTAAACGCACCTTTTCGGCTTTCCCCTTTCTTTCCTAGTTTACCTCCCCTCTTAGCTCTCTCGACTCTTGCCTCTTGGACTCTCACTCTCACTCTCTCGAAGTTGAACTCAGAACTTCAGAAGTCAGAATCACCAACGGTCGTCGGCGACGACGCTCCACCACCGACCGAATTAGCGACGCCTTCGTTCAACGAGTGTGTTCCAGACTTCCGGTGAGTGTTTTGTACTTTCCTACTCTGTGAATCTATGTTCTTTCTCTCTTAGAACCTAATATTCTTCTTCTTCTTCCCAACGGCCAGACTTATTGACAGCGATGGGCAAGCCTCCGAAATCCGATCGGCGATGTCTCACTGTCTCTCTCTCAGTGAGTGACAGTATCTCTCATCAGTCAAGTGAGTCAACACTCAACAAATCTGAGATCTCTCTATCTCTCTCACTCTCAAACTCATCTCTCAAGGTCTTACAATCTCAGGGTCTTACAATCTCACTCATCTCTCACTCTCAGACTCAGTTACTCATCTCTCATTCTTAGTTGTAGTCTCTCAAATATCACTCGACAGCAAGTCAGCAATTTCAGAAACTAAGTCTCTTCTCTCTCGACACCAAGTCAATAAGTCACCAATCAGCATCCAGCAAATCGACAACCAGTTCGACAATCCGGCACTATCAAATATCACTGCACCTATTTTAGGTAATTTTTTTTAGTATTTTTACGATGAATGAATGTTGTTTGTATTCCTTCCAAGAATGAATGAATGTTTTTGTTTTAGTATTTTTTAGTATTTTTAGAATGAATGAATGCAATGTTTCCAATATAATGTGAATTGATGTCATGTGTATGTCTATAAATCATTGTATGGAGAATTCAGATTTTATGGAGAATTTGGATTAAATCATTGTATTTTTTTTTTATTTTATGAAGAATTCAGATTAAATCTTGAATGAGTGAATGAATTTAGAAATTTAGTATATTTTTCTCACTGCACCTCTTATAGTTTTTTTTTTTTTTGTATTTTTAGAATGAATGGATGTTGGCTTAAATCATTGTCTAATTTTTCTGATCTTGTGGAGAATTTGGATTTTTGGCTTAAATCAATTCAAAAATGCCCTAAGTTGCTAAGCATTGATGTTATCCCGTGATGGGTGCTTGAAATCGGGACTTTCTTTTGTTCCCTTTCCATGTATATCTTTTTTTCTATTTCATATTTTTTAAGGCTATGTTAGATTTGAATGTTTATTTTTTTAATTATACATGTATTTTTTTAATTTATTAGATATATGTCAAGTACGGGTGATAACAATACAATGCCAAAGAGTAATCCTACACCTTAAGGTAATGCTTGTAATTCATCTCACCCAACTAGTTCATAGATTGATTCAAAAGTTTGCACCACTTCTTCTAGAAAAAAATATTGGGTGTGGGATCATTTTACTAAACTTGATTGTAAGGACAAAAGTGAACAAAGGGCAGAGTGTAATTATTGTGGTAAAGACCTATCTTGCCCATCTTCAAGTGGTACTAGTTCCTTAAGTAATCATTTGCCTAGATGTAAATAGTATCCCCTTAATAATGTAGACAAGCGGCAAAAGACTTTGGAAGTTTCATTTCAAAGTTTTAAAGAGGGGAGCGCCACACCATCACTTGTGTCTTACAAGTTTGATCAAGATGAATGTAGAAAGGAACTTGCTAGGATGATTATTGAAGATGAATTACCTTTTAAGCATGTGGAATAAGATGGGTTTCGTGGCTTTTGTGGTAAGATGCAACCAAGATTTATAGTTCCTTCATGTCACACAGTAGCTAGAGATTGCTATAGTCTTTATGCGGAGGAGAAGAAAATGTTGAAACAATTTTTTAAAAAACTATCATCAAGGGTTTGCTTCACTACAAACACATGGACATCATCTCAAAACCTTAGTTACATGTGTCTTACTACTCATTTCATTGATGATGAGTGGAAATTGCACAAAAAAATTTTAAATTTTTGTCCAATTTGTAGTCATTCAGGAGAGATAATTGGTAAGGCCATTTGAGAGGTATTTACTTGATTGAGGCATTGAGAGAGTGTTCACTGTAACAGTGGACAATGCAAGTTCAAATGATGTAGGGATTCAATATCTGAAGAAAAGACTTAATAATTAGAAGGGAAGTGTCTTAAAAAGTGAGTTCTTATACATGAGATGTGGTACACATATTTTGAACTTAATTGTCAAAGAAGGGTTGTCAGAGGTAGATGATTCTATTTTCAGGATTCGTTCTGTAGTGAAATATGTGAGATTTTCACCAGCAAGGTTGCAAAGATTTAAGGATTGTGTGGAGAAAGAAAGGATAGTGAATAGGGGTCTTGTTTGCCTAGATGTTGAAACTAGGTGAAACTCTACTTACTTCTGCTTTGAAATTTCAAAAGGCATTTGATTTGTTGGAGAGTGTTGATAGTAGGTATGTAAATGATCTTACTCATGGTAAAAACAAGGGTTTGCCTACTGATGGAGATTGGGAATATGCCCGTGGTTTGCTACTTTTTCTTAAAAATTTTTATGAAACTATATTGAAATTGTCTGGCTCACTTTATGTAATTGGAAATGAATACATGAAAGAAATTTATGGTATTGGACTTGTTCCTTCTCGGAGGTGTAAGAGTGATGATTCTTCTATTAATTTAATGGCTTACAAGATGAAAATGAAGTATGACATGTATTGGGAAAATGTCAATAATATCAACACCATGTTATTCGTTGTAGTTAATCTTGACCAACGATGTAAATTGGAGTATGTGGATTGGGTTATTAATGAGTCATATGATGTTGATACTACTAAAGTGCTAAAAGAGAAGGTGAGACAAGTTTTGACTTCTATATATGGGTACTATAGTTAAAGCCAGTCATCTCCTAATGTTCACTCAAGTATTCAATCTCAAAATCCAACTGATATGGAAGTTGAGAATGTGAAGGATGTTGCTGATTTCATGAATTCATTATTTAATAAGCAAAAAGTAGGCCAATGAACTATAGAGAATAAAACGAAATTGGATAAATATTTAGGGAGGAATGTGAAAATCTGAAAAATAAATCATTTGACATATTGGCTTGGTGGAAAACTAATTCCTCTAAATATCGGGTGCTTTCTTTGATAGCTCGGTATTTATTAGCTATGCCTGTGTCTACAATTGCATTTGAATCGGCTTTTAGCACTAGAGGTCGTGTGTTTGATTCATTTCGTAGTTCTCTAGCCAAAGCTTTGCACCTCTCTCTCTCTCTCTCTCTCAAGCATAATAGAGTAAAGATGGATATGTTAATAAACCATTCTCCTCTCCCCCCTCTTTTATTTTTCATGATTCTATTCTGATGGTTTTTGATTATGCTTTTTTTTTCTTTGACTAATTCCCTAGCCAAAGTTCCTAAATGTCATGTTTTGACTTATAATTATTTTGTTCTCTTTTTATCTGTACAAATTATTGTTTGGATGTGATTTATGTGGTTTACAAATGCAGGATAAGAGTTCCATACCATTCCAATGGGGAGGATCAACATTTGAATTTGATTCAAGAGAAGCATTTGCCATGATGATGGCTTCATTTGTGGCACAGTACTGAATTGTGTATGAATTGTTGGATGACCAAACTAAGTTGGCTTTCTCTTAGTTTTTAGTAAATTATTATCCATTTTTTTTCTTGTTTTGGTTGATAGTCTCTTTGTTATTGCACAGTACTGAATTGTGTCAAAATGCATCCTAGTGCAATATTAAAATGCATAATGTCAAAAAGTTGAAAGGTTGTAGTTTTCAACTCATCCCTTTTTGTTGGGGGCTTTTGGTGCCCCCTGGATACTTTTACTTAGAGTCTGCAGGCTTGCGTTATCCTTTTTTTTCTTTGTACTAACATTTACTTTTCTATTGTTGATGAGAAAGAATAATAGGAAACGTATGAGCATATTCATAGTTCAAAGGTGCATAAATCAATAAAATTTTTGGGTGTTTACCTGTTTCATTAAGTTGCTTGTGTGACCCAATAATCCAAATAGTAAGGTCAACTGATTAGCTTAGTCATCATGTTGCCTGGGTTTGTGGTTCAACTGTAGGTAAAGTATGCTTGCTTATATGATAGAGCAAGCACTTTTAACAATAAAAAGCTTAACTTTCTTTTTGTTTTTTCTTGCAACCCTTATTTAGCATAGTGAGTAGTGACAGTTGGGTTTCTAATGTATGCAGTTGCTGAATTTTGTGGGAATGTGGAGTTATGCAGGCTTATAGAACAAGTTGTTTTTTAG